TATATATATATATATATACATATATACATATATATATATATATATACATATATACATATATATATATATACATATACATTTATATATACATCAACCACTATAAACTTGGTCATCACCGTACCAGAGTAGAGTTTCTTGCCAAATGTGATATGCAAGCTCATAGTCCCGAGCGAGCAAATAGAGTCACTTATAAATCTCGTCAGTGAAGACATCATAGGGGAGAGGTCATTAGTCGACAACCCAAGGTTTTAAAAGATGTTGAAATAAAGTATGTTGGCAAAACTTCCAATATTGATCATGTCCATTTTTACTTAGGCATTAACCATCCTCGTAGAGACAACCAAGGCATCATTGTGGTTCGGGTTGAGGTACTACATCTCTTCTTCTTTGAAAGTTATTTATGCACCTTTTCCTAGCTTTGAGCATTTCTCGATAGTGGCTCAGACGTAGGCTTTGTGCTCCGAGGGGTTGTCCCCTCCCAAAGAGGGCATACTAGTGATGATATCAATTTATCTTTTCTCCAAACCTTGCGGGTAAGGTGAAGGTTCTCAAGATTTTCGAATGAACCTCCCAAGGTGTCCCCAATGAATGAGTTCTTCGATTTGCTCTTTCAAATCGTGATACTCCTTTGTGTCGTGGTTATAATCTCAGTGAAAGTGATAATACTTTGACTTGTCCCTCCTCTCCAAGGGCTTTCTCATCAGTTGAAGTTCTTTGAGAATCATTTCTCCTTTATTTATAAGAAATCTTGATTCTTGTCATATTTAGGAGAGTTGACTTGGACCTCAAGTGAGGTATTTCGGGTCGACCATGCTTCCTTCTCCATGATGAGCCCGAGGTCGATGTTTGAGATGGTTCTTGGGATGACCTTTTGTATGTTTCTTTGTGTTTACTTAATATCATTGCTTCTATGGCTATGTATTAGTTAGCCCTTTAGAGAACCTTAGGCATTATCGTCGGTGGCTTCTCTACTAACAACTAAAAGAAGCAAGTTGGCTTGAGGCTCATCCTAAAAGCCAGAATCACAAGGGAGGGACGGGTTTCCTACATGCCTTAGATTTCACTAATGAATAGTGTGATGAAATTGGAGAGAGTTTTATCCTCCTTCTATCTCAACCTAAGCAATATTATTATAGACGACCTCAAGCATATGTTCCCAAGGAAATAAGGCTCGAATTCTTTCACAAGTTGAGTGAAGGAACAAATCAAGAGTGGCTTCAGGCAACTGCACCACTCCCGCGTCGAGCCCCTCAACATCGTTTGGAATGTGCGACACATCAAAGTGTCTGAGGTATCGTACAAAGACATCTAAGCGTGAAAAGCAATGGTGTATCCTATTGGGTTAGAGTTGTCATTGAAGGCTTCCAGTGATGAGAGGCGAAAGTTCATTGAGATTGGTTTTTCCTATATGCTCTGGACAAATGGGGAGCGGCCTGAGGTGGGTTCATCCAAACCTTTCTTTTTGGACTGTTGGAACTCTTGACACATCTCATTAGTTCATTTATTATAGTTTGGCCCACAAGGAGTCATCCATTAGTTTTGTCAATTGGATCTTCGATTCGAGTAAGGTCGAGCCCTAATGTAATGGTGCACTGAACTCTATGGTCGGGCAGCGAGGTGCCCCTTCTGCTAGTAGCTCAATGGGTCAGAGATGATCCTACATTATCGATGCTAGAATGGTTGCGGGAACCTCAATGGGTGTGAATGCTAACGGTGGTTGAGACATCAATCGTGGTTGCGATGACGACATAGTTTGTTGAGCTAGTTAGGGCAGGAGTGAGGTGATTGCCTGTATCATGCCCGTGATCACTTGCACTTGGTGTGTGAGGTTCAAGAATACTTTAGCGGGAACAACAAGGTGCCTGACATTCGTCTTCAGAGGTGAGAGTCTTGAGTTATTGAACAAATACCATTAAAGCCTTAGCATTTAAGCGAAGGTGGACGCATCCACCTACGGAAAAGAGGGCAACTGCTTGCCTTGTCGAAAGGTGCTATGGGTTAAGGGTAGAGCTTCTTCACTAGAGTGCTCATTGAGAGGATTCATAGACGAATGTTCCTGCAACATTCAAGGCCCTCCTTCTAGTGCAAAAAATGTTGAGGTGAAGTACCATCAATAGTGGAGTCAGTCCAGCTTGACCTGACTCGAATGCGTAAGGATGTTCGAGGAACCCTCGTGGTGGCCTTAGTGCAGTTGAGGCGGCTTCGAGGTGGTCTTCACGTAACTCTAACATATCTGAGATGGTCTTGAGGTCAACTCGAGGTGAATCTAGCTTCTCGATGGATTCTTATACAAAGGCCAACGATGGAAGGAGTTTTTCAACCCAACCCCTTCAACGATGGAAGTACTATCAAAATATTCCATATCAATGATATAATTAAGTACTAGTAGATGCAAGTTAGTGGATGGATTAGTTCGAGTTGATCTTTTTAATACCAAGATGAGATTTGGTTCTAAACCAGAGAATGCTGATGATGCCAAGACACTGGGCTGCACCTGATTCAGCCTGGTCTTCTTTTGATGTGTTCTTTGCGATCCGTGTGATCCATCCCACGGAGTCCCCAGAGCAGATTCGTATACAAATTATTCCGACAGGCAGAGCGAGCCTGCAATTCCGAGTCCAAAAAGAAAGCGTAAATTATCTCATAACAAATCCGTATTGCGTAAGACTGGAACTTATTTTGACAGGTGAGAGAGAGCCCATATTGCCTTTTGTGTTCCGACAACACAAATTTCATACTGAAAGGGAGCTATTGGAAACGGGAGAGTATCTCATTAGGAACAAGTGCACTAATACTGCCATCCATAGAACTAACTCTGTACACTGACTAATACTGCTGAGTCGACCAATTCACATAGGTCTAAATAATCGCTGCTAAACATAGAATGCGTGAGACACTTGATGTCAAGAAATCTGAACATAAAGTAGTGCAGTAGTAGTACCGAGCTTATTGAAAGCAAGTGCGAGAGAATCTCCCTCTGGTAGAGGCATGACCCTCTGGACAACAAAAAAAAAGAGGCTAAATGACAGATACATACGTCTGATTCATTCCGAGCACAAACAGAGAAAGGATGCCAATACGATCAATATAGTTCGCCTTCTTTGTGAGTGTAGATGACGCATTCTGATCTCGGATAGGAGACACAGGTCAGGATATAACCCTTCGACATCTGTGTTTCATCGAGGAAGGATCCATCCGACTGATCGACATTGCCCGACACCAATTGACCAGCACACGTCGAACATGCTCCAGCTCGGCATGAGTATGGCAGCTCCACTCCTGCATCCTCGGCTGCATCCAGAATGTAGCTATCATCTGGAGCGTCGATCTCATGTTCCTTCCCCTCCGGGTCGATGAGTTTCACCTTGTAGAATGCCATAGCACATGCCCTGAAGCGGTTGGATGCCCTCAACGATGATGCTTTTGAGATACGCTTCATGGAGCTCAGTGAGGATGGGCTTTTGATCAGCAAAGAGTTGCACTGGCATTTGGTGTTGCCTCTCAGCATGCATACGGGTGGAACAGTAACAGTTGACATTATGCCTGCTGGAGATTTCCCTCCAAAAAAAAAAAAGGTTGTCTCAAAATTCACCATTAAAAACCATTCAAATCAATCTTATGACTCAAGAAATGGCCCTCTGATGCAGACTGACTATAAAGATTTAAAGATGATAAATAAATGTGTTGAACAACAAACACTTAAGAAGTAGACCCAAGGAATTCCAGTCTAATAGTTAAGTTATAAGGGCATCTAGAATTAGATCAAGGAACTTTCTGCATGTCCGACGATAAATCATCCATGTCGTGGGCAGGCTAGAGTGGGAACCATCACAGAAATACACACAACTCCGTTTAATTATTTACTGATTCTAGTTTAACCTAACATTCGACCCACAATAGTAGCAATATCTCCATCTTTCTAACCTTTCTCTACTCTCCGAGTTCACCTTCAATTTTGAATGATTGTTTAACCTTTTTATTTAATTTACAAGTGTTGGTGCACTATGCTACCAACGCTAGACATGCAACCGATGATCTTATAGTGTCTCCAACAAGTTCATGGCTGGATATTAAATGTACAAGGAAGAAAATAAGAAGCAAGTACATCCTAACTGATATCGACAGTTGAGATCAGCTGTGTAAATAAAGAGACAAACATTGGATATTGTCCATCAAGAAGACAAATGTTTCTGGATTGTGATGATAATCTATGTATGACTTTAATGGTCAAATGGTAATGTTGGCTACTGATGCAAATTCTATAAAAATCTAAAATATCATCAGCTTAGTTATCGCGCAAGATAATTACGCATCACAAAAGAACCAGAATGCAGTTTTGTGCCACACAGACTACAATATTGTTGTCACCGTAGCCAGTAATTATGATCTAGCAATGGATGACGGTAGGAAATTAACATATATACATGACCTCAATCGCCTAGATCTTTTGTGATAATCATGGAAGCCTTGTGTAAGATGAAATAGGTAAGAACTTACCAAGCCAACACCACTAGAATCAAGAAAAGCACAAACCAGCACTACGAAAACAAGATTCCTAAGCTTGATTCCATGTCAGTTCCCAAGTTAAAGCAGTATGATATATGTTTACCTAATCTTTCACATATGTTTCCAAGTTAAAGCAAAAGTTATCACGACAACGTTATAACAAACGGATCGTTTATAGAAGGCTAAAGAAGTTACTAAAAATCTGCAACAGATCAGTAGGCAATCTTTGTTTTCCATCATTAATCAATACTCAATAGAATAACTAAGTCAACCAGGAAAAGAGCGAGAGCGATGCCCATACTTTCAGAATCTAACTCCAATCTCAAAACAATATAATGAGATGTCTTCAAAATGATAGATTTCGACTTATGATGAATTAAGCTGCACAAGGTCTTTCAAAATGATAATTTGTGATACAACTCTCAGGATCACCAGACTATTATTAACTTGTTTACAGTGTCTAAATTCTAAAATGATTACAGTGGAAAGCATATCATATAATAAAGCAAACATCTGGTTCCAACATATCAACAGAAATGAAACGCGAAAAAGGAATAAAAGCAACCATATTTCCAGGAAAAATAAGATAAAATTCAACACATACACGAAATGAAAAAGAGCATATGACAGGGATTGACGTAAACGTCATAGATCCCGGCTCGAGGGTAAAAACTGCAAAAAGATCGAAGTATAGAACGAAAGAAATCGATCGATAGGCCACAAAAAAATCGGGTGAACATGATAATCATAGAAAACAAATGCTCCTAACATCATCAACTCCATATCGGAACCCACAGAAACAATTTTTTTTTTACCTGACGACGCAGTGGAAGGGATCGAAGATCGAGAAGACTCTGGCACGTATTAGAGGAGAAAGGGGGCGGCGGAGCAACCCAGGTGAGAGCGTCCCTTCCCGACGTGAAAGGTGGCGATGGGGCTTATTTATAGGGTTTATGATGTCCGGGACGGGCCAAGCCGGGCCGGGCCGGGCCCGGCTCGTGGAGAGCGAGGCAGGACTGGACCATGGGTGAGGATCCTCTCCAAGTAGAGGTATCTGACTTTACCCCGGATCCACGCACTTTAGATGGTGCCCGCATCAACAGACGGTCGAGATGTGGCAATTGGAAGGCTGAATTATAAGTGACAATTGAAGCGGATCGGCTGTGGAGACGGCGGGTGGCCGAAGCGGTGACAGTGGACTCCAGCACTGGTCCTATGTTTCACCCACATGTTTGGCGTGACTCGCATTTCCCACCTGCCTCGTGATTTAACATCAAGCGGGACACGCCACTGCCCACAATGACGGATCAGGTGGAAACGGCGGGTGAATCTTATAGCCGGTAGAAACAATTATCTTAGTCGGCTCTTAGTTTCTGGTGGCCGGCCTTTTGACTCCTCAAGAGGCGAAATGCGATCTTCTATGTTTACGACAAAGACGATTCCATGGAAAAGAAAAAGGAGGAGACGGGAGCGAGTTGAGTTCCGGCTGGTGGATCGCTGCACAGGGAGCGACTCTTCGGTGGTGGGTAAGGGCAGGGTCACCGTCGAGATGGGTGTGGCCCCTGCGGACGGGGCCGCCACTTGCGTGCGTCAATTGGTTTTGTCGATTCCAGCCATCGCTCACTCCGGGTTGCGCGCCGGTAGCTTTTGAACTCCTCGTAGAAGAGAGGAAGAGACAAATATATTTGATGGTAAAATCTGTAGATAAATGTCTTGTTGAGTCGAGACACAAAATGATTATGCTCAATTGTACTACCAAACTCTTCGACTTAATACTATGTTGATTTAAAGCTTCGAAGTTATGAGTATCCTTGGTACTATATGGCAGTGGATTCCAAATACGAGAAGTATAGCCGATTGGAACTCAACAGCGCGAGCGAACGAGGCTTCTCTGCCATGGAGAAGGAGATGAGCATAGAGGAATTTAGTATGCCTCGCTTGACATATACAATCAAGCGGGCAACAACGAATATTACAAGATCAAAACAATCACCTTAATCAATCTTCAATCGTTGCTGGCATAATGGTAATGAGGATGCATGCTTTTCTTCTGCAGACCGAGAGCTCTTCGGACGAAGGAAAAAAAGAAGAAAAACAGTGGCTCAAGCACGATCTAAACTCGGAGGTTTTGGCACGAGAAACGAGTGTGTGGTTTCAATGACCAACACTCGATCAAGAAGAAAGAATGATTCGGGAAGCATATCCGACCATGGAAATCCGTGGAAGAAGGATGAGACGATCGGTCTCAGTTTCCAACTTGCAGGCACGTATTTGGCGGCCGACGACAGTCGTCGACCAGCGCCTTGCGGGCGGATGCCAAGGCCTCCGGCATGAATCTCTCGAACGCGCAGCGATCCGCCCAATCCTTCAACGAGCTCTCTTGCCCCCACGTCTCCGGTATGCAAACACGGCCCGCCATCTCCACCCTGTGCCGCCTCAGCCTCTCCCGTCCACAGTCCTCGAGTCTCTTCCTCGCCTTCTTCGAGGCTGCCTGTCGAGGGCCACCGCTGCCGTCGTCCGCCGGTGATGTCGAGGCGGGATTGACGGGCTGGTCTATCGGAGAATCCATCATTAAGCCTTGAAGAGCCGGTCGAGTCCGGGGCTCGGAGGAGGAGCACGCGTCGGCATCGCAGCTCCTCTGGGGCATGTCCTTCCCTCTCGCTTCTTCCATCGAATGGTGCTACTGCTGCTCGTGAGGAGGAGGATCATGTGGAAGAGGTTTTAGAAGGTGGGGTGGCGAACAAAGAGAGAGAGGGGATGCGTGGGGGAGAGGAGGGCACGTCGGAGCCAAGGGTTTCATGTGGTGCGCGGAGTAGCAACGTGGTCGGTTCGACGCTTTTGTGGAAGCTCCAGAAAGCAGAATCCGATTCCGTGGGCGCTGCTGCTCCAATGGTTTGCCTCCGGTGAACCAATTATTTTGGGGAAAAAAGATAATAATAATAATATCATATAATTCTAAGTGGTCAGCACGTCACCCATATAATATCATATAATAACAGCATCATAACATCGAATTGATGAGTTATATAGGAAAAATTCTGCATATTTATAGACTTTCTTCTGCAAGCAGTGCTACCATAACATTCCTTTGAATCAAGAAGGTGGGTACAGAATACGTCCGAACACCAGAAGATGTAAGGGAAGCATCCTAGCTACGGTTCGTCTCTGGAACAACATAAATATTTCTGTGGCATCAATAAATGAGAAGAGATGGAAGAAGTAGTAGAACTGACCAAGTGCGCAAGATCCCTTCCATGGTTCATTTGAATGCATATTTAAGTACGCCTGGGACATGAATGCGATAGAAGTAGTCCTCCCAATCGACGTGCTTGGGATCAAAATCGAACATCCAGGCCTCAGCGTCGTCCTTCTTCATTGCCATCCTCAACCTCTCCATGTTTAGGTCGTCAAAGCTTCGAACAAGATAATAATAATCTTTACCCAAGAAAAATAATCTTGTGTGACCTGTCGAAAAAGGAAAAGACAAAAGAACATACTATCCTCTGAAGAAGGCATAGGGTTCGTAAAGGTCAACGAGATGCATCACGAACTTGTACTTCCGGTTGAGTTCATTGTATCCGCGAGCAAATCGTCCACAGGATAGCAGATTGATGAGGTGCAGTACCTATCAAGAACAGACGCAACCATGCATTAGCTATGCGTCGAAATGCGTGGCTGTGGCAGAGCTATCTCATGCTTACTGACCCCCAGTGGCAGCTTGTGTCTCAGGGTCATGTAGATACGGAATCTGGTCATGTTTCTGATGACAGGAACCCTTCTCGTCTTGAGGATTCTTCCGTCCTTCCCCACGCGAGGGTTCTCGAGGAAGTAACGATACGCACTCTGCTCCAGAATGGAGTACGTCATTGGATTTCTCACGGAGGAGCTCATGTGGTAGATGAACTCCGACCGCTGATTCGAGTGAGCCGCCATGGTCACCATCATCGCGTTCACCACCATGTCCCCGGGTACCTGCGTTACGACCAACCTCAGCATGCATCCACTTCCAAGCGAGAGCTTGATCTGATCATGAAGACAGAACGAACCACATCCCCGACGATGTCGAGATCTCCAAACAAGCATCCGATCTTCTCCTTCACGTACCCCATGATCAGGCTGTCGATCGTCCTGCACCACGAGCAAACTGAGTCTATCTCTCGACTCACAGAATCTGGAATGCCACTGGTTCCGCTGGTTCAAGTTTCATCACCTCGTTCCTTCGATCCAACCAGGAAGTGGGTCTCTGTGGACGCTCGTGATGATCGTCGGGCGCAAGATTACCAGAGGCAGATCTCCTCGTAAGTGTCCGAGCAGCATTTCACCCATTGCTTTGGTGCAAACGTAGGTGTTTGGCCAGCCAAAATACCTAGCTCTTTAGGATGCACAAGATGTTGAAGGAAGAGAAGTCAGCATGCATGAGATCCAAATGAGTATACAACTTGATGGTTCGGATGAATCCACCTCTTCATCCCCAGTCGCTTCATGGCTAGCTTTTCGACCTCTTCGGTCGCATACTCTGCACGGAGCTCCCTCTTCTTCTTGTCCACCAACCTTAGTTCTGCTTCGATGTCCAAGTAGGAGCCCCCCTTGAGAGTCTCTCCCATGAGAAACTTCTTTTCCAAGATCAGCCCACTCTGCTCGCCAGCTACATAAGCTGGCCACGAGAAGAAGAAGAAGAAGAAGAGATCGGAATCAGCTTATCAGAACGCTATATAGAATCAACTCGAAATGCAACGTACCAGTAGAAACATGGAGGAGCATTTCCAGTCTCACGCATCGCCTCGCAAACTCCAAGATATGCTTAGCTCCGAGAGCATTGATGCCCAAAGACACATCGTATCTGCAAGTGATCAAGTAAAAACATGGTAAATCAAGGTCACTGCTAAAAGTTGCATCATCGAGGATGACATTTGATGCACCTGTCGTCGAAGCTGGTGGTCGCTGCTACATTGACGACGATCCCCACTTCCTTCCACAACTTCTCTCTGAGATTGGAGTCTTGGATACCTAAATCTTCCCGGACGATGTCTCCAGCCACGGGGAACACCTTGCTTGCGACAAATGGATGGAATCCATCGCCATGTTTGTCTCTTAGAACCTTGAACAGGTCCTTTCCTAGTATCTGGAATGAAAAGATTTTGAATTTGACTATTTCTTAGATGTTTATTAGATGTAAGAAGACTCAAATCGGACTAGACTTTGACTTGATATGAATCTGAAGTCAAATACAAAATATGATCCAAATAGAAGAATAAACATATATATATATATATATATATATATATATATATATATATGTATATATGTATATATATGTCTGAATTAAATATAAAATAAAGATTTTATAAATCTCAAAGCTATTAAGAGGAGGATTTTAATACATAATGGAACTCTAACATGGAAATTAAAATAGAGAAGATTTTGCAGTTATAATTTAAACATAGAAAATTAGAATAATGAATGTACGCATCGTATATTGATAAACCAAAATTGAGATAAATGGCAATTACTTGCAGAAAAATGACTGCAAACTTTGGTTAAAAGAAAAAAGAGAAGCTTATTGAGGAAAATATATTGGAAATTGATGCCATTTATACTGCTATATATATATATATAGAACC